TCTTCCTCTGTGTAGGAGTGGAGAAAGTCCCCCAAATATTCAGGTTTTTCTTCTCTTTGGACTCAATCACATAGCAACAGATGCTCCTATGAGTTTACAGACACATATACCCTGAGTTTAGGAAACCTTTACCTTGGCTGATCCATGCAGATGACTTGCTTACTGCCTTCTCCTGTTTGACATGAATAATATATAGCTCTCAACTGACAACCATATATACAGTCAAGTTTTAAACTTTGATTATGGTTGCAAATCCCTACATTCTACTGGAAAAATTAGCTACTCATGGCATGGATGGGAGCACTGTTTGACATGTTAAAAACTGGCTGGAGGGCAGGGCCCAGAGAGTGATGGTGAACGGTGCTACATCCAGTTGGTGGTCGGTCACTAGTGGGGTTTCCCAAGGCTCAGTGTTGGAGCCAGTCCCGTTTAATATCTTTATCAATGACCTGGACAAGGGGATCAAGTGCACCCTCAGTGCAGGGGGCAAGTTGATAGCAGGATACAGCACCAAGGACACAACCTATATTTTGCCAGATTGTCAGAATTTGAATTTAGGAACACGGCTTAGTGGGACTTGGCTGTGTTAGGTTTATGGTTGATGATCTTAAAGGTCTTTTTTAACCTAAATGATTCTATGAGTCTTAGTAGATGAAGTTAATCACTGATATGACTTCTCATTCACAATTATTCCCCTACACTTTGTGCATTCTAGCTATATTTATGTCTCCTAGCATAAGCTCAGGGAAGGTAGAAACAGCATGGGGCAAGCATGTCCATAAATTTACAGAACACCACCTAAACCATAAAAAAAAATTCCCCCAAAAAGCTATGAATCCCATGTAAATGCAAAGTTAAATTTTTAGTAATTCACAGAGAGAAACAAGCTATTTGCAGTTTCCCAGTGCTTACCAGGAGGTAAAAGTGTGCATGCAGATAGCTATTGTAGAGCAGCCCCAAAGCTTCCTAGAGAACCCACTCCTCTCTTTGACAGATGCTCTTCAAATGGAGATGAATAAAGAGGGCTCACTTCAGGTGTCCATTTACAGACATCTGCAGCTTGCTGGATATCCAAAATATTTGAAGAGGACTGGCAGATAAGAAAAAGGACTTTCAGGAAACCCAGGTCCTGCCAGGGCAGCAGTTTGGGGCTTGCTGCAATATCCCACAGAATGCACAGTGACAACGGATATTACCAGACAAGTTAAACATCTCAGTCCCAGCTCTATTCTCTGCTCCAGAACGCTTCACAATAGGTTTTTCAGCTTCTTTGCCTCAGTCACTGGGAAAGCCAAAACAGACTAGCTTATGTAGGAACAGTTTTAGGTCAGCTCTGAACACTTTTGCATCTCATGTCAGGAAGAAGTATTCAGAACTGCTGAAAAGGTAAAATAAAACACATGTACCAGATTCTTACATAATTTCTCACCAACTGACAAAAAAACTCTTAAAAGGGTTAATTTTTCCTCAGTGTAAAAGACGAAACACATTCACAGAGGAAAGTTATTTTTTGAGGCTATCTAGCTAAGAATGCCCTGTCCAGAAACCTATGCTGCTTCTATAAATGTTTAGGGTTTTAGAAAATGAATCAGCAGCTACATGACCAGCTCAGAAATCATAAAGCTAAGATAGAACACAATGCAATTCCACACATGGCAGTGAATGCCACAAGTTCATCTATGAGTCATCTGCCCACAGAATAAAGTTGTTACAAAACTGAGTACTATAGAGTCTCTTTCAGTAAACATATTTGGATTCAATGATCAGGAAAAAGGAAATTAACTCTGCCAAGTAAATGAGATTGATTGTGTATTAGTGACAAATAATAATACAGATAAAAAGAAACAGCTCCTAACAGAACGTTTATGCGTACAAACCATACTGATTTATAAAAAGCTTTTCCTACACCCCCTACTGAGAACACAAAATGAAATTTAAAAGAAAACAAATGCCGCCACCTAGGGAGCAAGGTGGAAATCCACAAATTCAAGCTCTTCGGACTGTCTCCCGCAGGATTCGGGTCACGGCTCTCCCTTCTGCTTTTGGTCATGTTCCTGTGTCACCGAGGACAAATGGAGCAGCGATGGGTGAGCAGTGGCTAACGCTGCACTGGTATCTAGAGGAAGAGGGAAGTGTCTCCTGGATCACTGCTAATTGGTAGCACCACTGGATTACGTGTTCTCCAATACACAGGGGTTTTCAATAGCTAACAATATCTTTTCAGCCTTAAACGTTTCAGTGGAAGCACGGTGGGTTTGACACGTCTCTGTGATACACAAGACAACTTCAGGATTCCCTATCTTGAAAGGCTCTGCCTGCAATAAAGGAGAGATGTTTTTCTCCTTGTTCAAACTAGATATCACCTCTGATGGAGAAAGCCTGCATACCCTTCAAAGAATGCCTGAAACAAAGGGGCTGAGCACTTCCAAATTACTCACAGCTAAGCTGGGAGCTGAAGCCCAGATGCCCCAGAAAATACACGCACGGTGTCTGCTGTGCAACAGTATGTGAAGTCCAGGAACTTTTTTTTAACATGTGTTTCCTGGCCAAATGTAAAAAAAAATTCCACAGAAGGGGGAGTTGGGAGTTTAATCGATTAAAAAAACCCTTCTTGTAGTTCAACCAGGGAAAAAAACATTCATCTGTACATTTTATTAGCAAAAGCCAGTAAGACATCTTCTGACCTTCCTTTGACTTATATGGATGGCTGCACATTCTCCTCTCAGTCAGATCAGGACTGTGCTGATCCTGTCAAGCTAAAAACTATAATAAAATCCTAATCAATCAAAATATTATCCTACAACCTGAGCTCAGACAGGAAAGAGATCCTTTCTTTTTTCACAGTCATGCCATTCAGCTAGTATAAATCCTTATTAGCTTCATGCATGTGTAATAAGCTAACAAGAAAGCTTGCCATAAGGTTGTTGATGTCTAAAGGTTTCAGTAACATCCTTCTATGTTACTGAATAATGTTATGTAGCTGTTATTCTTATGTTATGTTAATATTATGTTATTATTATGAAGGTGTGTCAGGGGAGATTTAGGTTGGATATTAGAAAAAGGTTCTTCCCCCAGAGGGTGGTTGGGCACTGGAACAGGCTTCCCAGGGAAGTGGTCACAGCACCAAACCTGGCAGAGTTCAAGAAGTATTTGGACAATGCTCTCAGGCACATGGTGTGACTCTTGGGGATGGTCCTGTGCAGGGCTAATGGCTGGACTTTGATAATCCTTGTGGGTCCCTTCCAACTCAGGATATTCTATGATTCTACTGATTTTAGCTAGTACATTTTAATGCCATGAGTAGATGCCAGACAGCACTTTGAGCGATCAAAGTGACATAGAGATTTTAGTGCATCTGATAAATCAAGCATGGTGGTCACCAAATGCTGGTGCGTAGTCCTGTACTAGTCAATTATAATTTCAAGGAGGCTGGAACGTTTTCAAATCCTGTGCTGTATAACAGTCTCTCTGTTAAAGAGAAATACACTTCTTTGCTACAGCTGGAAATGCATGTTTAAACAGTTTGAACCCACTGTAGTCAGTGATTCAAGATCCACAGGTTGTCTCTCCCTCTTTGTCACTTAATTTTACTGCTCTGTTATCCAGATGACTTCCTACCTCACCTGTATATAAAATGGACCTCTAACAGCACCACTGAAGGCAATCAGATTAAGCCATGAGTGAGTACTCTTCATACAGTTAAACCTTGTACTGAGGCTTCATAGGAAGGCTTAGAGTCCTAGTCTAGAAGCGTGAGTCCTACTCTTCATATGAATAAAATGTAATGTCCTAAATGTAATTTACAGTTTTTAACTTAAAACAAAAAAAGTTGAGCTCATCATACTGAAATTCACCATCTTTTTGATCTATAAAGGTTCATAAACACCTGACTGGTGTACATTATTGTTATGTTTCTGGTTTTTTGCTTCCAGACCTCCCGTTGTGTCACACGACATTCCTCTGTCAAGCGATTAGCCCTCGCTTGAGGAAGATGAAAGCAAGCATGTGCTGGAAGGTAAGTGTAGCTCTGACCCTTTAAAGGAACTGTAAGACAAAAGCATTATTGTTTTTCAAAAGCGAAGTCACTGACCTGAGAACGTTCCTCAGGCACAAAGTGTGCAGTACATCGCTGCCTGTGCTGCGGCTGCCCAGCAAAGCCTGACACAGCCATTGTCTGGGGCCAGCGTTAGAGCAGGTGCTGCTTGGCTTGGATCAAAGGTAGAAGCCACCTGTGCACTACCAAGCAGCACAGGGCAACCCAAATGCAGTTAATTTCAATCAACATGCAGAAAACAGAAAGGAACAAGCCTAAGAAAGGCCATGTGCCCATATCCATTACAAGTACAAGGAAAGGATCAAACTCCAGGACATGCACATCCACCCTGTGGGACATTCCACCAGACTCACTCTGGAGTGCACGCTTTTACGTGAGTCTTGAGCTTTCCAATTTTGCTTTGATGTTTGCTACAGGAAGTGGTTCTTGGGTGCCAGCCGGGGCAGTGACACTATTGCCTCATGGAGCAGAGCCCAGAGGGATGGGGACCTGGATGGTAGTGCATGTCCCCTGCCCATGCCTCCAGCATTCCAAAAGAGCCCTTACTTGCAGCAGGAGCAGAGGGTGCCCAGGTCGCTGCCCTCCGCCTGGAGGACCTGCAGGTAGGGAGCCAGGGGCAGAGGTTTGGTACATGTCAGGTCGCCATCACCGGTTTGGTAGCTGCCACAGGAAATCCCCTCCAGTGGCTCCTCACGGGTTGTTGGCACCTGTGGGCTCAGAATATCCAAGAAACAAAGAGCACCGTCTTTGACAGAGGTGCTAGGGCCTCCCTGATCCCAGGTGGCGCTGCGGGAATGGCGCCTCCATTCGAACAACTGACCTACTGGTATAGAATCAGGAAATCTCTTTCTTATGATCCATCTTTCATAAGAAAATAAACTTGGGTTCCAGTTTTAACTGTACTATGCCTATGTTTATAAACACTAGTTTAATACAGTAACAATACTTTAAACATGCAAGCTTGTTTATTAAGACAGGCTACATAGAAGGTACATTTAAAGAACTGTTTCCATTTGGACCATCTGTATCCCTCTCATTTTCTTGAAAATTTGCCATCTGCCATGTCGCAAGATCCCACTTGGAAAATTTCAACATTCTTGTTTTCTTCCCTGCAAGCAGAAGAAAAATATTTTAGAAGAGAAACACTATACTTGACAGACAAATTTTATATAGTGGACTCATCCTTGTCTTTCTATGTGTTCAGTTAAAAGCAGTGATGCATTTAATTGCATCACTTGTGGCAAGATTACCACAAAGTAACCATGATGCAAAGATTTATGAATCACATACACAGAGTGAGTAACTTACCAGAGGCAGCCTCACATCTGGCTTTGTTACCTATAAAAACCTGATAAAACCATCTGCAAATCTGAGAACTATCAAACCACATGACAAATCTCACCATGAGGACTAACATGTCCATTACAAAGCACTAATGCAAATTAAACCTCACAGTCTTTGAGGTGGGAGCCAGTTCTAATGCCTATAAAATTTTCCCCTTTCACATGGGAATTCAGTAAGAAGGGCTTGCATCCTGATGCATCTCTGCATCTGAGGCTTCATTAGAATTTGAATGTAAGGAACTTTTAGCCAAGTATCCCTTAGTTTGGAAACTTTTTTTTTTTTTTTTTGTATTTTGGAGTGCTCCATGTGCAAATTTCACCTTTGTTCCAGGTGTTTCACGTTATCATGGAGCAGTCACAGCAACCTCTTCTGCAATACTCATAATGCACACAGTCTTGCATGGCTGAAAGAGCCCATGGACAGTACTGTCTTAGCCATCAGAGAAGTGCAACTCCCTCTAAAAAGTCCTTTCATGGGCTTAAGTATGGGCTAGAACTAACCTGCAAGTTGTCTGTTCCAAATCATCTGAGTTAACCGAGAAGTGAGTTTTTGTAATTTAGTACTGGATGTGCCCATATATCTGTTTCTTTATCACCACATTACATTATTTCAGCAACTGGTCATGCAGCTGGTTAAGAAGGGCAGAAAGAACCCTTTGTTCTCCCCTCCTAAGGAGTGTGACAGACTGTACCTTAGACTGCTTGGAGTGAAATGACCAATGCTTATGATTATGAACTGTTTTTCAAAGCTGAAATTCTTCCAATAAGGCAAAGTGTTTTATCTGTGTTGTGTTCATGCCAAGTCAAACACTTTAGAACAATAACTCCACACTGAACTAGAAGGTCCTTAAATATGCCAGCTACTAACCTACTAAAGAAAAAAATATCAGGAAAGTATCTGACCACCCTGTGTCACTTCAGACCAAAATATATGTTTCTGAGCATGTAAGAAGACAGCAAAAAATATGCTGAGATAAAATTTTATCTTGTGTGTGTAATTGGATTAAATCCCATGTATCACACAAAACATATACATTACATCTTATACTAAAAAGACATAAGCCTCATCACAAATTACTTAAGAAATCACTTAGAGAGCTGAAATAAACAGCATATTTGGCTGGAAAACTCTTTGTTCTGTGTGCCATGCTGTATTCAGGGATCTGCCATTCACCCATCTGGAACTGAGAGATCATGCCTAAAAAAATGAAACATCCTAGAAATGTAAGACTGGATCTCGAAGCCCATCCTTCTGCTCTGAAAGGATCAAAGATACTGTTTAGGTCATTAGACGTTCTTCTGCCTATACCTCAACGATATGAATTTGCACTCTCTGTGGGCAATACTTGGCACTTCTCTTTGTCTTTTATTGTACTGATTCCATCCATTTCCCCATATCCCTGGGAATTTTGATGCTGTCCTGCTCAGATCTTTGTATCCATGCCATTTTGCAATTTTTATTGTCTTGTTTCCAATGTCCATTTTAATTACAAAAATACTTAATTATATGCTACACCTAAAGGATAACTCATTTAATAACTCTTTCCAGTTTGACTGTAAAATGCTGATTGCTGCTTTTGAACCACAGCATTTCAAACTTCTTTGACTTCATCCATTAACAATTTCAGCAGGAGAGAGAACTCACAATCTAACAGTCTGTATGTCTGATGCTGTCTGGTCTATGTTGCCAGAAGTCATTTCTTTCCACCTTCTAAATTCCTCTTCCTCGTCCAGGTTACTCCCAACAAATAACTGTTTGTCTGTTTATGTGAATGTCAAGTGGAGATATGTAAAATGTTCTATTAACACAATGCAGCAGCACTTCTGTTTCCTCCTACATGGTTTGGCCAGTTATCTTGCCAAAAAGTGAAATCTCACGGATTTGATCGGATTATTTCTGACAAATCTATATCAGCTTTGCTTACTTTCTTTTTCACCTCTGGTTATGTACAAAGCCAATCAATCACTTAATAACTTACTCCAACATCATTCTAGGCAGCAAAGATGGGTAGGCTCCTAATATGTAATATGCCAAAAACTCTTTTCTCCCCTTTTCACAGATTGTACTGTGCGTGAACTGTGATTCCTTGTTTTCTTTTTTTGTTGTTTTGCTTATTTTCCCTTGGTCATTTGAATTTTGTAAATTATCTGGTCACAATTAATTTTTCCTCTGCCCCAAAGCCAGAACACATTTCAACCTTCCCTTTCTTGAGATCATTCTGTTAATAATTTTGTAATCTGTTATTTCATTAATATAGATTGCCTTTCACCATTAAAATTCTATCCACAAGCAGTTCCTTTCAGTTTGTACTGAGAGAATACTCTATAAAGGTTTCCAGTCAATCGTAATGGGGGTAACAATGCTCATTACATACTGATTTTCTATGGTTTCAATTTGTTTTTAAAAGTTATTAAAGAATAAAATACCTTCTATCAGACAATCTTTTTCTTGATTTTTAGGTAACCTGTAAGATACTATTGTAAAATAGTATTTTCTCCTAACACTTGGCATTCTTACTCTTCTCTATGAAAGTAAAGACAGGAGACTGGACCTTAAATGTAAACTTTCTGTTTTAAAAGCTGCATTTTGGTTGGGATCTTTCATGTTTTCTGATGGAGAGTGTGGAAGAGTATGGCATTATATTTAATGGCAATATGGTACTGTATGAACATAACAGGCAACCTCCTCTAAGATGCTTCTCCTTAGGAATTACAAAAGAGAATATTCAGTACTCCCCAGCTAACTAAATCCATTCAAAGCTATTTACAGGTGTCATTAGAAAATATTTTGCAAGGGATTTGCAGCTGAGAGGACACTGCTGAAACTGCAGTGCAACTGTGCAAATGACCCACAGCCAGTAAAGGATCTATCAGTTAGCTGGGATGTCAGGGTGAATATTCTGCTTGCATATAGGGAAGGGAAGGATAAAATGTCAATTAGGTGACTACCTGTTTGAAAGGCAGAGCACACACTCGTTTCCGTAGGTTTCTCCATCAGTGCCACAAACTGGATGGAAGTCCCTTGGACAACCAGACAAATGATACTTGGAGCAGTCCGGCTAGGGAAGACAGGTACAAAAGAGGTCTAAGATACACCATTTGAAACAGGTTTCTGCTCAGCTTCTGAAGAATACTAGCATGCTCATGCACAGGGAAAAAAAAGTGTCCCACAGGAGCAGACACAGCATTTTAAAGTGTCACGGTATCTTTCACACTTCTATGTGAATTTATCAACTGAGGCTTGGCTCCTGCTGCCTGGCACGGCTTGAGCTGTGGTGTTAGGACATATGCATGCCACACAACCCAGCCCGTCCGACCTCCGAACGCCAGCGGGACACACGGGCAGCCCGTCCCCATGAAGGGCAACTGCGGATGGAGCTGGTAAGGGACGGGAAATCACCACCTGGTGCGCTGCAGCCCGAGCAGGCGGTGCCAGCACCTCCCGGGTCCTTCAGCTGTGGGGAGAGATCCCTGCTCAGCCCCGCGGCTCCGGAGCCAGGGCAGGTGCAAATTCCCCACCGTCAGTCCCGGGGCTCTGGGAAGGGGGCAGCCGGCACCGGGAGGGCGGGCTGGGTGCAGGGAGGACCGTCCTTCCCGGGGACGACGGGGCGGGCGGCACTCACCGGGTAGCTGGCGGCGGCACCGGGACACGAGAGGAGCCCTGTGGGGAGCAACGGAGTTAACGGAGCCCGGCCCCGCACGGATCCCCCCCGACCTCGGCGGGACCAGCCGCTGTCCGACCCCGCACGCCTCGGCCCGCCGCTGTCCGGTCCCGCTCCCGTCCCCGACCAGCCGCTGTCCAGCACCGTCCTGTGCCGGTTCTCCACCCTGCTGATGCCCACCCCCGGCTTAGATCCCACAGCCGAGCCGGCCGGGGCACCGGTACCAGTGCAGGCTTCCCTTCCCCTGCGACGAGCCCGGCCGGGGCACGGTACAGTCCCGCGTCCCACCTCCGCCGTACCGGCTCGCCCTTCCCTTCCCCCCGACCGCCACCGCCCGGTACCGGCGAGGAGCACGGGCAGCAGCACCAGCACCGTCAGCGGCCGCGCCATGTCGCGAACTGAGGCGGGGGCAACGGCCGAGCCGCGGGGCCTGCACGGGCGGGAGCGGGCGGCACGGGAGCGGGGAGGAGCCGGGAGCGGGGCGGCGGAGCGGGACACGGACACGGACACGGACAGGGACACGGACACGGGCACGGACAGGGACACGGACACGGACACGGACAGGGACACGGACACGGACACGGACACGGACACGGCTGGGATGCCACGGAGGGGGGCACGGGGGCTGAGCACTGCAGGAACCTTCCCAAGGAACGTGCTCGCGGGGATGAAAGGCTTTATTACCGTCAGGGCTGTGCGGGGTGGGCAGCACAGGTAGCGGTGGGAGCCCGGACTGTGATTTTCAGCATTCGCCAGGCTTGCCTGCTTGACTTCCAGCTCGCTAGAGCTGCGTGTTTGTGCAGAGTGTCCTGGGCAACTCGGAGAAGTTGGAAGTACTCGTGGAGTGCCATACAGCTGCTTAGGTCGTAGCCCCTGTCTCCTCAAGAAGTGACATGAAGTGGCTTGGGCAGAACTATGAGTGCCTTCCTGCCAAGAGGAAGAAAAAAATTCATAGAATCATAGAATCAACTGGGTTGGAAAGGACCTCTGAGATCAAGTCCAACCCTTGATCCACTACCGCCGTGGTTACTAGACTATGGCACTCAGTGCCACGTCCAGTGTCATCTTAAAACCCTCCAGGGACAGAGAATCCACCGCTTCCCTGGCCAGCCCATTCCAATGCCTGATTGCCCTCTCTGTAAAGAATTTCCTCCTAATATCTCACCTAAACTTCTGCTGGCAGAGCTTAAGACCATACCCACTTGTCTTACTGATAGTTGCCTGGGAGAAGAGACCAACCCCCACCTGGCTACAACCTCCTTTTAGGTAGCTGTAGAGGGTGATGAGGTCTCCCCTGAGCCTCCTCTTCTCCAGGCTAAACAACCCCAGCTCCCTCAGCCTCTCCTCACAGGACTTGTGTTCAAGTCCCTTCATCAGCCTGGTTGCTCTTCTCTGGACCCACTCCAGCACTTCAATATCCTTCCTGCCCTGGAGAGGCCCCAGAACTGGACACAGTAAATAATACAGACCCAGCAATAAAACCATCCTGCCTGCCTCCAAAGGCATGAGAGCACAGGCTGGCAGGGGCTGGAAAGTCTTGGTACACCATCGCGCTAGCATGGCTCGGTGTCTTAGCAACACTGCTTTCCAGAGTACCTCATCTGTTGGTCCCTGGTAAGAGTGGTTAGCTTTGCAGAGCCCAGAAGTTGTCTTTACACAGGGTCTGGCACTGAAAATATTTTTATGCAGTTTACTAAAATATAGGGTATGGACTTCTTGTAAATTGGCCTATGGCTCTGTATATGAGCTGGGGTTAGACCTGTAAAGTGTTTTGGTAGGTCCCATATAGGTACATATACACATCCTTCTTGTCTCTGTGTCAGCCTCTGAGTCCTTCCAAGCATGGTTTTTCTTGTCCTGTATGTTTCTGACAGTGCACCCTGCTCACATGGCATCATTAGTAGGTTATTGTATTATCTGCTTAATATGTTCCCACTCCTCCAGGTAACCCCTGTAAACTGTTTGCAGTGTTAAATTTTCATTCAGCACACACCTCTGAGATTACTACTCATTACTACTTTTGCTTCATGCAAAAGTCTCTGGCTTGACTATCTTAAGCAAGATGGCCAACCAGAACATCTTGTGGCTGGTGAAGCACTTAGAGGGGTATTTCTCTCTGCTTGATCTCCTTCCCTATCTTTTCCTAAGTTTTTGACCAAGGTTTGCCTGCTAAGCCATTTGAGATGGGGGCATCTTTTTGTTGTCTTGTTATTGGTGGGGTGTTTGCTGGATTTGCCATTCATGGGGGGACCTTTACGTCCCAGAGAAATTTCCTTGGAAGAAGGAGCATCAGGGGGTTAAATATTGAAGAGTTAAGCTGTGGTGGGTTTCCTTGTTTCTTGAAGGTGTGATTTTTTGAAGGAAGAGGTGCCAGCGGAAGGTGAAGAAAGCACAAACAAGGGAAAGGTGAAGAAAGCAAAACCAAGGGTAAGAGTTATTTCTTAAGTTGTTAATTTCTGAAGTTCATGTCACTAAACAGTTAAGTGCAAAACTCTTGCACAGAAAAAAAAAACCCTGAACATAACAAACCAAGTAAGAGTTCAGTGTAACTGTTGGTAGCAAAGATGAGCTTTCTCCTGAATAATTCTAGCACAGCAAGCACAAAATGGGTCTGTACTGTCATCATGTCACCTCAGAGAATACTTGCCCCCTAAAAAATATCCTCCACATTAATGTATTTTCCAATGAGTTAATGATATGGTCATCTGTATGTTGTATTTGATCTCAAATAAATGGTACAATTTTGGTTTAATATCACTCAAGTTGTCTTTTTGTGACAGTAATATGAACTCATTCTCAGCCATGTGTTCTGTCCCAGATGCTTCCTCCTGATGTGGCAGAGAAAACAGGGAAAATAACCCACACCTGCTCTATTAACTCTCAGTGTCACAATTGTATTTGAAACTGGTCCAGTCCAGTTTCCTCAGTTCTGAAAGCATTTTATTTCACTTATTTAAATTTTTCTACTAAATTTTCCACTGAGGGTATTTAATTTTGCCTTATTTGAATAAAATTTTAGAGACAGGTCTTTAGAGAAGGAAAAATTATAGAAATAAGATTTTTAACAGAAGAAAAGATAACTTAAACATTTTTTCTTCTGGCAAGATTGAGGGCTATTAAAAGATACTAATTTTCTTTCATAAATTATTGAGAACTGGAGGCAAAGAAGAGGATAATTACACAGAGGGCTTCTAAATAGCTTTTGTATCCTGTTAACACATTTCTAATATGAATGCTGAGTCACTGGAAAGGAAAATTGCAGAATTATTTGCATATCTTCTAGAAGTTATCTTCTTGTTAACATCAGGTAGTTGATTAATAAACATGGAAGATAATAATGATCCTAGCATATAGGCTGCAGGGAACAATGCGTAATTAGAAGTTCCATCCCTGCAGAAAAGGTTTGTTTCTGCCTCATGCTTAATGGAATAACTCTCTGTGCTTGGAAGCTGGAATTTATTTGAACTTCAGTCCTTTTCAAAGTAAGTGTATATGACTCCCTGAAAGAAAAAAGTTCCTTTAGTGAGTTTATATGTACTTCATATTCTTATGTTAACCAGTAGTTAGTTACTAACAAGGTTGTGACGCAAAGCATTGAGATTTTGTGACTGAAAGATGCTAAGGGCAGTTGAGTTGACTTAGGGCAGGTTTCACACCAGAAGTGCATGCCTGTGTCCTTTGGAGTAAAGAAGTGCTACAAGGGAGGGTCTATGTTTGGCTTGGAGAACCAAGGGTGTAGCTCAGAGCCTCTGGTTCATCTACAAAGAAAATAATTCTATAGGAAGGAGTGACTGTATTTGCCACTGCTTTCAGCAGGACTAGCCTTTAGTCTGGCTGTGCCTTGGAAGAAACAAAATAAAACAAACTGCTGGGCCAGACCATTGGGATTGAAAACCCTCTGGTGCTCCTTGGTCTTGCTGCTGCTCCAGTGAGTGCTGGCCAGGTGCTCCTGAGATGTACCTGCTGCAGAGATTGACCACTCGTTGTGACCGCCCTAGTGATGGTGAAAGGAAGGTCATTCTGTGGTTCCACCTGTACAGTTTATCCTCAGCCACTCACTACTGTTCTGCCAGCTGGAGATGCCTGATTGCTTGGGTCTGCTTGCGAAAGCATTTCCTCTCTTAAATCTGTGCAAATTAGCTAGGTGAGCAAAAATCTGCAAAAAATCCCCAGGTACCTCACCTAGATTGGACTGAAGTGGCAAACTCTAACACAAGGTCATGGTGTGGGTGGCCCAGACTTATTTTAGGATGTTCCCTATCTTCCAAAACCAGGCTAAGCAAAACAGGAATTATTTTTATGCCAGTCAGTAATGAGTAGGTCTTAAAAAAATAGCCAGTGATTAATGCGGACATCAACAAACTGCAGAAAAATAATATGTGCTTGAATGTGGCATGGATTCAATATCAATAAAAGCTTTTAGACAAAGAATGATAAATGCCAGTATAGAGTCATAGAATGTTTTGGGCTGGAAGACATCTTTAAAGGTCATCTAGTCCAAACCCACTGCAATGAACATCTTCAACTAGATCAGGTTGGTCAAAGCTCCATCCAACCTGACCTTGAATGTTGCCAGGGATGGGGTATCCTCTCTGTCACTATGGGCCCTACTAAAAAGTCTGTCCCCATCCTTCTTTTAAGCCCCCTTTAGGTACTGGAAGGCTGCAGTAAGGTGTTCCCAGAGCCTTCTCTTCTCCAGGCTGAACAACCCCAACTCTCTTGGCCTGTCTTCACAGGAGAGATGCTTCAGCCCTCTGATCATATTTGTGGCGCTCCTCTGTACCCATTCTATCAGGTCCATGTCTTTCCTGTGCTGAGGACTCCAGAACTGGATGCAGGATTGTGGGTGGGGTCTTGTGAGAGTGGAGTAGAGTGGGAAAATCACCTCCCTTGACCTGCCGGCCACACTTCTTTTGACGCTGCCCAGGATTTTGTTGCCTTTCTGGGCTACAAGTGTATGTCCAGCTTTTCACCCACTAGTACCCCCAATCCCTTCTCCACAGAGCTGCATTCTCTATCTCTTCATCCCTATCTGGTGTTTAAGTTATTGAGTCTCTTTGTGAAAATCTGAACTCGGCCCCTCCTCTTGGTGTGTCTTGCAAAGAAAATGTGTTGAAGACTTGTGGACTGTGACATCATTGGGGATTTCCAAGACTCAGCTAGACAAGGTCACAACTCTGTTGATGTACTGTTGGCAGTAGTTCTGTTCCAACTGAGAGGGGGGCCTAGAGACCCAGAGGTCCCTTCCAGTCATCACTACTATGACTCTGTGTCCCTGTTCCTGAAATCCATTCAGAGCTTTCACCTGCTGGTTCGTATTGTGTTTGCTTATGTTGTTTATCCTCCTGAAATCAGTAGGCATCAGACCCTGGAAGGACGGAGTCTTCTGGATATGCAGCTT